CCAACTGTTGCTTATTGGAGAGTGAATAAATGATAAAAGCTCAATAAATTAAGCCACTATTAGTACCAACTACAATATAATATAGGGAAATAATTATACTGTAAAAAGCCTTAAACGAATGGTTGATACGAATTAGCATCCACCAGAAAAATAATCCTAGATTGGCTGCGAAACCAAAATGAAGTATGAATACCACCAAAAAAGTTAAAAAATGAAGAAAAAATATATTGTTCTGGCTGAAAATTATAAGTGCGTATCATCATTTGAACCAGAGAATTTTTTCTTTAAAATTAGCTTCTGAACTTAGTTACTCTTGAGTGAGAACTCAAGATCTTTTGGCCATTTATTGTAATTAAGAGTTGATATTGGAATTTTCCCGCAATAACATAAGTAGGTCTTACGGTTCCATTGAAATTAATTTAGCCTTGACTTCCGCCCTATATAATGAAACCTTGTGAGAAGCAAGATAAAGTGAAATTTAATGGAATCGTGAGAACTACTTACATCTTTATAGGAAAATTCCATTATCCGTCCTTAAATCACTCTAAAATATTCAGAGTGACTAAGTTCTGAATGAAGAATAGCATTGACGAACGTCAATGAAAAAAGATATAAAAAATACCATTTCTATCAAGAATAACTTGCTAATATAGAAAAATCGAAATGAAGAGCAAGTACTTTAAGAGTGAATGTGGAAGAGTAGTGTAATTTTAGAAAACATATTGATAAAATTAAATGTGCACAATCTAAATCTCCATCCAGAGAGGATATATTTTTATAGAATGTTTAATTGAGACAATCACTAGTTTTGTTGATAGAGCATAAATACACGCTAGGTACACGTAGCTGGCTCGGTAAGAGCTTAACTTTCAATCGATTGTGCATGAAACTAGGCTAAATTACTTGAGAAAAAAATCAATACAGCAAAGTAACTAAGGAATCGTCAAGTAGTATATAGTTGTAATTTATTATAGAAGAAATACACATCAAACACGGGTATCTATGAGTATATTGGACAAATAATAAAAATCTCTATCTATATATCTCTTATGTTCAATCTTCAATACGTGGTTTATATAAATAAGTTACTTCTGAAAACATACAGCATAAATAATAAAAATGTAAGGCAGCGTTGAACTTTTCGTGAAATATAATTTCATATTTATCAAAGAAAATATATTTATCGAAAGATTAGCCAATATATGATTGGTCGATGTCCTGAAAACTTGCTAAATATTTCGAGGATTAGTTTAATTCGTGGCATTTATATTACTATAACATAAATTTACGGCACTAAAATACCAAGAGATTCAACTACTTAGGGTAAAGTGAAAGAACAATGTAAAATGTATTATGGGAAGAACATTCAAATGTATTTTAAATAAATGAAAAGCCAACCTCCTCCTCTATACAGGAATAAGACTCTTCTAATTGCTCGGATCCAATTCAAACGTTCTCGAGGATTCGCAGCTGCCAAAAGTAGGTAGGGATGGGAATTCGTCAGAAATGCCCCATCCGTCGCTAAAAAAATATAGAAAATTAAGAGCAATCTATAAACAGCCAGGCTAGGTTATTAAATATTTAGATTTCGCTAAACAATTTCAATAATACAAAATACGAAAATAACATTTGTAATAGCAAGCATTAACACTATGAATTACCAGATTTTATGATAAAATAATATAGTTTTTCGGTGCCGTACAACTCATTTTCCGGAGTATGAAAGTAAACCTCAGTGTTTTCAATTGAAAATCCGCCAAGAAGCCGTACTTTATCAGGACCTGAATAGTAAATTATCTTTGCTTTATCTAAAACAAAGAAACGTTTCTTCCATGTTTTTACGATGCCTCCTTGCTTCTTAAGCCAACCACTATAGTCCTCCAATAAAGTTACCCTAGAACCAGCCTAAACAGAAAAAATTGTCTATAAGAAAAATGAAAACTCTACTAATCTATCTAGGCCATTCCTCATTCCGGAGGGAGCATCAATAGCAAAGCGTTCTAAAAACGCACTTTAACCCCTAGTTCAGGACATTGAAATACTAAAACATATAAAGCATCTTTAAATCCATTCATTTAATTTCATATTTTCTGTCAAAATAAAAAAAATTTGAATTGTGAAGATTATAACCTTAAATGAACATCTAATTTTATTTAAGTTATTTATTGGCGTAAATGATATTCGAAATTAATGGCATGAAGTTGAGAGTACTCAGTTTCAAGTTATTTTCAAATAGCATGGAACATGGTTTATTGCTAAATTAATTAATATTACCTTACGATCATCTATAAAATTTAAAACCGTCATATTTTTATAATCTATATTCTTTATTTAGTATCTTTCTGAAAGGCTCCATTTTCCCATTTCCTTATTAGTGGTCTATCTTTTAAAAGGGCTGTCAGAATAAGAACATATAAATATAATTTAATACTAGTTATTAACTTCCTCTAGGCGTTGACTTATTTTTATCCTTGACTTCACGACATTGATGTATGTATGCTTGCTTCACTTACCGGACTGGCATATTCAAGTCCAAGCTCACTTTTTTATTTCCCTTT